GGCACTCCCAGCAGGGCAAAGCAAGCAGTGACATTCCATGGCCCCTGATCAGCACACCAAATGCTGCCTGCTTGGTTGGGAACCTTCTATATTATTTTAAAATTATGATAATGAAGCTGCTGTGGTTGCCAAGGTAGGTGCAGTCCTGCCAGTGAGCTGGTGGCTCCTGCCAGCTGATGAGCACCTGGGCTTGGCTGGGGAGAGCTGCAGTGCTGGGAGGCACGTGTGGAGCCACCCCCTCTGTGCCACTGGAGGGGTGGGTGTCACCCTGTGACTCAGGTTTGACCACGACTTGATCCCCTCCCCCCCCACCCAGGTAGAGAAGGAGAGAGAGAAGAGAGAGACTTGGCTGGATTGAAAACTAAACTGCACAGCTTTAATTAAACACTAATGATATAGGAAAATATATACAATTATATACAGGTATGTTCAGATATCTGCAAAAGCCTCTTGCTTCCCCCCACCCCTAGCAACTCCCGCAGCATCTCCTGAGCTGGGAACCCACCCGAAGAATTCCAGACTGTGATGAGGGTCAGGAGAGCTGGAGCCTGGGGGTCAATGGTGGTGGATGGACAGAGTCCTCCCCGGATGCCGGCCATGGGTGGAGGAGAAGGGGAGAAGGAGCAGGAAGGAAGTTGTCTTCTGTGATCTCTGACCTTCCTCTGAGCTTACATACCTCTATGGAATGGAATATCTCTGGCCAGTTTTGCTGTCTGTCTAACTCAGCCTACAGGGGGGTCAGAGATCTCCCTGTAGCGTCTGAGCTGGCAGAGTGAAGGTGCCACCTTGAAGCCCCAGCAGTTAGAGACACATTCCACCATTTGTTATCATTCCTCGCTGGAATGCTCGGTGACTAGTTAAAAGAAACCTTACTGAAGGAAAAAAAAAAATCAGTAAAAGGAAAATTGGCTTCATCCTGGCTCAAACCAGGACAGTGGGATTGGGTGGTTGTCCTTTCCTTGCTGTGTGCACCCAGAAGTAGCCTCTTCCAGATCCCTGCTGCCAGGCTGCTTGGGACATCATGCTCCTTGGAAAGTGTCCCCTTCCCAGGAAAAGCCCTTTTGTGGGTAGGTCTTTGCTAGGTCACTGTGGAGCAGCTGGTTTTCAGAAAGTTCCAGGTTGGTTTGGGCTGCATGGGACCTTAAAGATCACCTAGTTCTGATCACCTAGTTCCAATCCCATGGGCAGGGACACCTCCCACCAGCCCAGGTTGCTCCAAGCCCCATCCAGCCTGCCCTTCAGCACTTCCAGGGATGGGGCAGCCACAGCTTCTCTAGGCAACCTGTTCCAGTGTCTCACCACCCTCACAGGAAAAAACTTCTTCCTAAGATCTCATCTAAACATTCCCTCTTCCAGTTTAAAACCATTAGACTTTTTTTCCATCACTCCCTGCCCTTGTCCCAAGTCCCTCCCCAGCTTTCCTAGAGCCCTTTCATGCACTGGAAGCTGCTCTACGGTCTCCCTGGAGCCTTTTGTTCTCCAGGCTGAGAGGTGCTCCTCTCCTGCACTGGTGCCTGATGAGGTGGCAGGAGATGTTTATCTGTTGTGTTTGCTGGGACTGGAGAGCACACATGTCATCACACAGCAGCTGGGCCTGCTCAAGAGATGGTGGAGACAACTGTGTTTCCTCACAACGTTTTGTTGCCTGCCAGGAAGGGAGCCAGCCAGGCTTTGCAGGGAGAAATGCAGAGCTTGGACAGGCTGTGGGTGGGTTTCTCCTTCAGTCTGTTCACTTTTGAGAGGCAGGTGTTGTTGTGGGACAGAAGCTGCTGGTGCCAGGTGTGCTGGGATCATTTGTACCACCTACATGGGTTCCAGCCTGGTGGCCTCTGGGATCTTTGGACCCTTAAATGAAACCTGGTGCCCCAGGCAGGGACTTGCATTGTCCATCAGTCTGAGGCAGGGGTCTGGTGGGAGCAGGTCTGGGATCCAGTGGCTTTTGGGGGACATGTGTGTCCCATGTCCTCTCTCATTTCTGTGTGTGTCCCACGAGCTTGCAGGGAGAGCTGTGTGGGCACCATGACATGGTGTGACAGCTGTCCTGGGGAGAAGGCAGGGAAGTCTCCTGCTAGAGTTGGCCACACTGGTGCCCTGCCACTGCAAGGGGAGCCACTGACCTTTGAGGGAAGAGCTGTTGGCCTTTCTAGGAGGCTTTGTGGATTTCTCGTGAGCTGCCAGTGGAGAAAGTCAAGTAGGTGGAAGTGCTGGCAACGGGCAGGGTGGTGTCCCTGGAATGGACAGTGTTGGGAGCTGATTTCTATGGCATGGGGGAGAGGAGGAGATCAGGAAGAGGACAGTATGATCAGGGAGCATCATGGGTTCCTAGAGATGGTATCAGAGCTTGGAGGAGAGCACTGCAGTGTCCTGGCTTCCAGCTCCCTTGCTGCCTGCAGCCTGGGTCTCCTGCCTGGCCAAGTGCTGCCGTCCCCAGCCCACAGCACTGATCATGTGCCAAGCAGGTCTGGTGATGTGGCACGTCCCACTTTCCCCTTCTGGGATACTTCTGTCTTTTAGGTTGTCCTGGTTCTTCTCTTCTCTCTGTTGGGAAGGGAGAGGGTGATGTCTTTCCATGCTCCTGTGGTTGCATGGCTGGAAGCAGTAGTGGATGCAGGAATAATGTCTGCAGTGAGAAGATGGGTTGCATTTAGGGATGGATTTCTTGGAGCCAGCACTCTCCAGCGTGGTGACAGCACAGGAAGCTGCAGGAGGCTGTGGGTGGCTCAGGTTGCTGACAACCTCTGTTTGCCTTTTGCTGATGCCTGTGGTTTGATGAACCTTATCCAGGAAGACGAATGGATGCGACAGGACCACGGTGACCTTCATGGCCCTGTTGGCTTCCCAGCCTCTGCTGGAGCTGGGCAAGCAGCTCCTCCCCTTCTCTGTTTGAGGAATGAGCTTCCTTTGGGGGGGCTGTGGTGCTGCCATGGGGCAGGGGACAGCACTGGGGCTGTACCTCTGCAGGACTTCAGGCAGAAAAATCAATGTTTATATTTCTTTTAACTGGGAAAGATTCCTTCAGTAAGTCCAGTAAATAAATACATTGTGAAGCTCAAACTGTGGGATATGAACTGGAATGGATTTTCAAGTGCTGTCTTGCAAGAAAATGGATTTCTTGAGTTCAGGCTTTATTTAGAGAAACCTTTGATATAAGAAGGGAGTTGAAGGTTGGAGCTGAACTCTGACTGGGAGCTGCTCTTCCAGTGGCTGTGGAAATACAGTCAGATTGTTGCTGCTGGAGCTTGCCAGGAGAATTTCTCCTATTCCCAGCCCAAAGGGGGGTCCCTCCCCTGCACCCCAGGGTGGTTCTGGCTGCACCCTCTGTTCCCTCCAGCCCCATTGCTGCACTGCAGGCTGTGCAGCCACCTCAGGAACCAGCTTCTGCAGGTGCTGCTGCTGAGGATGCTGGATACCAGCCAGGATCCTATTCCCTTGGCAGGCTGCTCTGTGGCTTTCTGTGCCTGCCCTCTGTGGCTTAAAATGTCTCTTTTGCCTGCTTTGTTCCAGCTGGTTGTTGTGGTTGAACTTGGCAGTGGAAGGGATGTTGGAGAGGGAGCTGGTGGTGACCCTGCTGGGTTGCAGCTCCCATGATTTAGGCTGGGATGGCCTGAATTTGCTGTTCCCAGGAAGAGCTGGGGGCATAGGGTGGACTTGGAGGCTTCTTCTGCAGAGTTGGCCCTGCCCAGAGTCTTGGGCAGGGTGGAAGGAGTCGGAAGGGGACTCATCTCAGCTGGAGAAAGGCAGAGCTGGCCTGGAGCTTGGTTTTACAGGTTGGGGCTTTAGTCTGGGCTGCACTATGTGGGAGCAGGAGTGCACAGAGGGCTCTGGGCTCCTGCTGCACATTTACCTGAAGAATATTGTGTCCTTGTGTGAAGGAGGAGGAAGCAGAAAGCTCTGTTTCAGCTCCACCTTTGCTTGAAGCTCCAGGAAATGATTCTGAGCAGAGGACAAAGGGCACTGTGACTGGGATTCCATCTGCTGTTGCTCTGCAGGCGTGTGCAGGTGGCATTGCTGTCCTGAGAGCACCAGGAGGGCTCTGGGGAGGGAGACCTGCTCCCTGCAAGCCCAGAGGTTGATGTGACCTGTGGAGCTGCTGCTGCACTTTGCTTTCTGAAAATGGGACCTGACTAGAAAGTGTTATGATGACTTTGCCCCGGAGCAGGGTGGCTCTGGGTGCGTTGGACCTGTGCCCCCGTCGGGGTTACATTTCCCAGTGACACTGGAGTTTGAAACCAAGGGCTGATGGTGACAGCAGAGCTCTGTGGCCACTCCACTCCCCAGGTAAGAGGGGCAGGAGCTGGAGCTGGGACACGGTGCCCACTTCTGTGGAGCTCAGAGTCTGCTGGTGGGCTGTCCCACCATGATGACCTGCTTTGGTTCCCGCACGGAGCTGCTGCTGGCAGGCTGGTTGGGATAGGCTTCTGGTCCCCAAGCTTGTGGCCAGGGAAGAGCACCTGCTTTGCTTGGTGGTGTCTGGTGTGGGGTAACACAGGTCTCCCAGTGTGGGTAAGTGATGGCGAGCCGAGAGGAGAGGAGACAGGAACAGAAAATGAAGCAGTGTGGGCTGGAGTGACACTGGTGGAGGAAAGAATTGGCCCTGGGAACAGCGAGAAGGCAGAGCAGGGTGTTACCTGCTCCAGAGGGTTAGAAACGGGCTGCAGATGTGCAGCGAGGTCGAGGTTGGGTGCAGGAGCAGTGTGCTTGTTCCCCGGGGCACAGCCCTGCGATGAGAGAGGGGTCAGCAGGGTGGCAGGGCTGGTGTTTGTGCCCTTCCTGAAGTGTTTTGTGTGGAAGCCAGTGCATTGCCACACACTTGGAGAAATGGTTTGTCAGTGCCAGAGGGACAAATGCCGAGAGCAGTGGCTGGACTGACGGTCGTCCCTGTTCCCGGAACCAGGGTCCTGACCGTGCCAGCCCAGGAAACGCGTGATATCCCCTCATACCGGGCGGTCCTGGCCTCACGCTGTCATCTCTCTTCCAGCCACTCCCACTCTCCTGGCTCCATGGCTGCTGTCCACGAGTGGTCCTGCACCCGCTGCACCTTCCTGAACCCGGTGGGCCAGCGGCAGTGCTCCATCTGCGAAGCCCCCCGCCAGAAGCCCGACCTCAACCACATCCTGCGGCTCAGCGTGGAGGAGCAGAAGTGGGCTTGTGCCCGCTGCACCTTCAGGAACTTTCTGGGCAAGGAAACCTGTGAGGTGTGTGGCTTCACCCCCGAGCCAGGGCCCAGTGGTTCCCCCTTGCCCGTCATCAATGGCATCTTGCCCAAGCCCACTGTGCTGGTGGAGCCCAAGGGCACGTCCAAGGAGGAGGCTGCCAAGACAGAAAGCAGCAGCGAGGACTCGGAGGGGAAGAGCCCTGATGAGGCAGAGCTGGAGAGTGGCTGGGCTTGCCAGCGCTGCACGCTGCACAACACGCCCGTGGCCAACTCCTGCTCTGCCTGCGGGGGCCCACGCAAGCTCTCCCTGCCCAAGATCCCACCAGAGGCGCTGGTCGTCCCAGAAGTCATCACCCCTGCTGGGTTTCACGTGGCCCCCTCTACCCCGCAGCCTCTAGTTTCTGCAGACATCTCCGAGGGGGATGCTGTGGCTACCCAGGGCCCAGTGGCTATGGAGCAAGAAGCCCAGAAGGTCCCAGCTTTCAGTCCCTTCTCCCCGGGGCTGCAGAACAACCCGGTGCCCCGAAGCCGCCGGGAGGTCCCACCCCAGCTGCAGGTGCCGGTCCCCGAAGCCTCCCAGCCTGTGGCTCCGGGTGCAGGGGGGCACTTCCAGGAGCTGCTGTCCACCAAGCGGCTGAGCGTGCTGGAGGAGGAGATGGACGTCAGTCCTTCCCACTGGAAGTGCAGCTCCTGCTCCCTGCCGAACTCGGCCGCGGCCGGCAAGTGTGAGGCTTGCAACGCCCAGAAAGGCAGCGACACCATCGACCTGGTGGGCGACTCGGTGAGATTCACCCCTTGCAGCCCTTCCAGCCCCGACTTCACCACCTGGTCCTGCTCCAAGTGCACCCTCAAGAACCCTACCCTGGCCCAGAAGTGCAAAGCCTGTGGCTCCTCCAAGCTGCACGGCTTCCAGGAGCACGGGACGCCGGCCGAGCCGTCCCCCCGCTGCCCCGACTGCGGTGCCAGCGACAAGGGCGGCTGCTCCTCCTGCTCCGGGAAGGCCCCGTCCGCCCGCAAGGTCGCCCGGCTCTTCCCGTCCCCTCTGCCTGGGCAGGAGAGGCCGGGCCAGTGGGCTTGTCCTGCCTGCACCCTGCTCAACGAGCTGAAGGCCAAGCACTGCGGCGCCTGCCATACCCCGCAGCAGTACGTGGCCCAGCGCAAGGGCCTGAAGCCACTGCGCAGGCGGGAGAGCATGCACGTGGAGAAGAGGCGGCAGACGGACGAGGGGGAGGCCAAAGCCCTGTGGGAGAACATCGTGACCTTCTGCCGGGAGGTGAGTGCTTGCTGAGCTGGGCTGGCTCCTGCTTTCGCTTGGGTGGGACCCTTTTCCGCGGCTCCCCCGGGGCTCCAGGCGTCACGAGGCACAGGCAGCTGCCTCCTGCCTCTCGGGCCCCAGAGATGATCTCCACCTGCAGCAGCTGGATGTGGGTTGTTAGTGCTGAAATGAATCATAGAATGACTCATAGAACGGTGAGAGATGGAAGGGACCTTCCCGATCATCTAGTTCCAACCCCCTGCATGGGCAGGGACACCTCCCACCAGCCCAGGCTGCTCCAAGCCCCATCCAACCTGCCCTTCAGCACTGCCAGGGATGGGGCAGCCACAGCTTCCCTGGGCAACCTGGGCCAGGCTCTCACCGCCCTCACACCAAAGAATTTCCTCCTCATGTCCAACCTCAATCTCCCCTCTGCCAGTTTTCATCCATCCCCTTGTCCTCTCCCTCCCTGCCCTTGTCCCAAGTCCCTCCCCAGCTTTCCTGGAGCCCCTTCAGGCCCTGGAAGGTGCTCTAAGGTCTCCCTGGAGCCTTCTCTTCTCCAGGCTGAACACCCCAACTCTCTCAGCCTGGCTCCAGAGCAGAGCTGCTCCAGCCCTCAGATCGTTTTCGTGCTCCTCCTATGGGCACATTCCAACAATCTTTCTTGTGTTGCCTTTTAAATCGGTGGGAGATAATCTGTGGGGTGTTAACTTGTTAACTCCTGGCACAAGGATGAGGAATTCAGAGTGTTAACTCTTGAGTGATATTTTAAAGTGGTGAGAGAGAACACCTGGGTCAGAGAGGATGTTCTTAGATGGTCAGTGCAGCTCTTT